TCTTTCCCTTCTCTAAAATTTAATAAAATAATTGACGTTTTCAGTTTTTAAGGAAAGATTATTTAGCTTATTAGTTTGGATGGGTCAAGGTCCATGTTCGATGCTTCTATCAGGCCCAATTATTTTCAAATTTTACTTCCTTTGGGATCAAGCCTAACTTCTTGTTGACTCAAAAGGCCCAATTCTTGATGCTCGACAGGATGATATCTCGATTGTTTTTGCTGCAGAGTCGCTGGTTTTTTTAAAAAAAATTAATTTTTTTATTGTTTTAATGCATTGATATTGGGTGGCTATCCTTCCAAAAAAGAAATCAGTGTGATGTTAGTTGGGCCTTCTTCTCTGAAGCAGAGCAAAGATATCTTCTTAAAAAAAGACGTCCAGTTTTGGAAATTTGGAACCAGCAGATAGACTATCATCAAACTAGCTGGGAGTTATTTCCTACAAGTAATTAGCAAGTGACGGAAAACGACAATCAATAATATTTCCCTCGTTTTGAACATGAAGTCATGCTACTGGCACCAAAATAAAATGAAGATAAGACGACAAAACGCTACTCTCTCTCTCACTCATTTTCTGTTCAATCTATCTAACCAAGAGCAGAGAGCAAAAACAATTAATGGCTACTTTAACATTCTCTGCAGCTCAATCGAGTTCAGTTTCGGGCTTCAACCACAGAGCCCGTCATTCCAATCTTTTCTTTGTTAGAGCCCCACGATTTTTCAATCGTTTAAAAAGAAGAAACTTGTCCGTCAAGAACATTGCTAGTGACCAAAGGCAAGAATTGAAAGATCCCTCTGTCAATGGAGAAGGTTCTTGTTGTACTACTAATAAATTTCTTCCCTTTCTAGTCTCTTTTGCAGTTTGGCGTTCTCTCGTTCAGTAGCGTGTACTGGTATTTTTCATGTGTTTTTGTGTGTTTACAGCTTCTTTAGAGACCCTCGACTCTGCATCTATTGCAGCCAGTATTCAATGCCATGCAGAATTCACACCATTATTCTCTTCAGAACATTTTGATCTTCCCAAGGCGTTTGTGGCAACTGCAGAAAGCGTTCGCGATTCGCTAATTATAAATTGGAATGCCACATATAAGTACTACGAGAAGATGAATGTAAAGCAGGCTTATTACCTGTCTATGGAGTATCTACAGGTTCAGCACTATCGGTTTTCTGGTGGTTACAACTACTGAAAACCAATCCTACTGTGCTAGTTTGGTTAGTTCTTGCTGATGATTTGTTATGTACTGTGTTCTTTTATGTCGCAGGGCAGAGCATTGCTAAATGCTATCGGGAACTTGGAGCTTTCAGGAGCTTACGCTGATGCTTTGAGAAAGTTGGGCCACGAGTTAGAGGATGTAGCTGGAAAGGTAAGATGTTCTTATGATAAGTTTTGTTCAATCATCATGGCTGATCGCTTCTTTTTTTTTTGGGTTACAAAGGAGATGTTCGAATCACTCCTTTATGCCACGTCTCCTGATTTATGGTGCAATACAAATGATTTGCTTATAGGTAATGGTAAATTGGATTTTCTTGAACTCAAAATAGCATCCACCTCCGACAACAGTCTGACTTTCTTTCATAAAATGACTGGCTTCGAAACAGGTTTTACATGGAATGAATTAAATTATTTACTAAATCTTATGCTATTGTATCGGGATTTGGAACACACACTCATTGAAAACTTCGCCAGGCTTTATATGTTGTTCTCTATCAGGCATTCCTATAAATACATTTTTTGAGGATAGCGACATTGTGTACAAGCATTCTGAAATCTTTCTGTTAAATTTACGAATGTCAGGAACCAGATGCTGCACTGGGCAATGGGGGCTTAGGGCGGCTTGCTTCCTGCTTTCTGGATTCGTTAGCAACACTGAACTATCCTGCTTGGGGGTATGGACTCAGGTACAAATATGGCTTGTTCAAACAGCTCATCACAAAAGATGGGCAGGAGGAAGTTGCAGAAAATTGGCTTGAGGTATTCATTTGAGTTTAGTATTGTTCAAACAGCTCATCATTTTTTTTGTATAACCCCCTAAATCTCGTTTGAAGGTTTATTGACATAAATTTCAAAGCTGATTGCTTTTATGCATACTGCATAATTTATGTGTTCCTCTATTTGTTTAATAATTGAAGCATCTCTTGGCAGATGGGCAATCCATGGGAAATTGTAAGAAATGATGTCTCCTATCCTGTTAAATTCTATGGAGAAGTTATTTCCAAGCCTGATGGAAGAAAAGAATGGATTGGAGGAGAAAACATCACAGCTGTTGCGTATGATGTCCCAATTCCTGGATATAAAACTAAAACCACAATAAACCTTAGATTGTGGTCCACTAAAGTTGCACCGAATGAATTTGATTTACGTGCTTATAATGCTGGCGATCATGCCAAGGCGTGTGCAGCTCTAAAGAATGCCGAAAAGGTATGTGAAGTAACAATCATATAGCAGTTAATTTCATGAATCTGTTTATGATCAAGAAACTAAGACACTGAAATTTTAAGATCCACTTGGGCACTATATGGCAAATTACATGTGAAAGTGTTTTTCTGTCCAGATTTGTTGACAGCACCTCGGTACATACCTATAGGGATTAGAAACGGTTTATTAGAATTTCTAATACCAAAGCTGATGGTTCCATTTGATGATTTGTTGTGATCAGATTTGCTACATATTATACCCTGGAGATGAATCAATTGAGGGCAAGATTCTAAGGTTAAAGCAACAATATACACTATGCTCTGCATCTCTCCAAGATATCATTGCTCACTTTGAAAGGAGATCAGGGAAGCCTGTAAATTGGGAAAATTTTCCAGATAAGGTTGCAGTGCAAATGAATGACACTCATCCAACACTTTGCATCCCGGAGCTGATAAGAATTTTGATAGATTTGAAGGGTTTGAGCTGGAAGGAATCATGGGATATTACTCAGAGGTACTTCTCTACATGGGCTTTGCACTTCTGTGGCAACCAGTGGGGCAGTAATTAAACTATGCTTATTCCATAGCGTATGAATGTGTCTGCAGCACATCTCTTGCACTTGAATTAATTTATAGTTGATCCATACAAAGATCACCGTTCCAGTATAATAATTTTGTTACACATCGATTGGCTATATGTTGGCTTCTAGTTGTGGTCGCTGGTAATCCCCTGGATTCTGTGATTTATGCAGAACTGTTGCATACACAAATCACACAGTTTTGCCTGAGGCTCTGGAGAAATGGAGCTTAGACCTTTTGCAGAAACTTTTGCCACGACATGTTGAGATCATTAGGATGATTGATGAAGAGGTAAGATTAAAGAGGTGGGATGATTTTTACAGACATCAATTATTTAGACTTTTTCCTCTTCAATTCTGTTGTTACTTGTCATCTATTCCTTCTGTTATCCAGCTGATTCATACCATAATTGCGGAGTATGGCACAGAGGATCTCAACTTGTTGCAGCATAAGCTAAAGCAAATGAGAATTCTTGATAATGTTGAGTTGCCTGACTCGGTTCTAGAATTGTTAGTTAAACAAGAAGAAAGTTCTGCTGTTGACTCCATTAAGGAAGTTAGAGTCTCAGATAAAGAAACTGAATCTACTGATGAAGAACAGGCTGAAGAACAGGACACTGATGCGAAAGATGTGGTGACATTCGACCCAGATCCAAATCTGCCAAAGATGGTCCGCATGGCTAATCTATGTGTTGTCGGCGGGTCTGCTGTAAATGGAGTTGCTGAGATTCACAGTGAGATAGTAAAAAATGAAGTATTTAATGAGTTCTATAAGGCAAGTAAATTAGTATTCTGTTCTGCTTCTCATATCACTTTCTGATCATGAAATTATATGAATATTCTTGAGGATAAAAGTAAATTATGAGATCTTGTATTTCTTCAGGACTACTGTGCATTGAATTTTCTTCAGGATAAAAGTAATTTCAGTATCCATTACTTTTTGGCAGTTGTGGCCTGAGAAATTTCAGAATAAAACAAATGGGGTGACACCAAGAAGATGGATTCGTTTTTGCAATCCAGATCTCAGTAAAATCATAACCAAGTGGACCGGAACAGATGATTGGGTCTTAAACACTGAGAAACTGTCGACACTTGCAAAGGTAAATTGTTATTTGTTACATTACAACCTACTGGTTGCCCTGTGCTCAACTTAGATCTCTGGTGACATTTCAATTGGAACTTCACTCGAAATGTTTTCTGACACATATATTTTGATGTGCCACTCTTGCATGTGTGCGAGTCTTTACATTTCAGGACAACAGTAAATTTGACCTCATCAGCTTCATACATATTAGATATTGACAGACAAATGCAAGTTTTTCGCAGTTTTCTGATAATGAGGACCTCCAATCTGAGTGGAGGGAAGCCAAAAAAAGAAACAAGATCAAGGTTGCGGACTTCGTTAAAGAAAAGACTGGATATATTGTCAATCCTGACGCAATGTTTGACGTACAGGTTATTTCCTGCCTAGCCTTACCTTGATCTGTTTCTGTTTTGTCTGATCATACAACTCTATAGAAGTCATTTCAGTCTTTAGTCCTGGTGCTTGATATCTGGTTTCTGGTACTAAAAAGCTCCGAGTAAAAACATTGACACTTCAAATTGAATAGTTGGCGATGATGATGATCAAAGGTCACAATCATTTCTTGAATTGTACTGGTCTTACTTTTGTTGATACAAGTGATGTTGAGCAAAAAAATAAAATACATCTTAAAGGATTACTTCTTAGTCTTTATTTTATGTACAAATGTAAAGTATCTCGAGTCTATAAGTAATATAATAATTCTAATTCTCAGGTAAAGCGCATCCACGAATACAAGCGGCAGTTACTGAATATAATGGGAATTGTATATCGCTATAAGAAAATGAAAGAAATGAGTCCTGAGGAAAGAAAGGCGAGGTATGTTCCTAGGGTATGTATATTTGGAGGCAAAGCATTTGCTACGTATGTCCAGGCCAAGAGGATTGTGAAATTTATCACAGATGTGGGAACTACTGTTAATCATGATGCAGACATAGGCGACCTTTTGAAGGTATAGCTTGGCTAAGTGATCATCGATACTCATCAATTATGTCCAAATGCTGATGGCTGAAAATCGTGGGCTTCTTCTCATTTTTGCATTCTTGTTTGTCACTCTTATTTCAGGTTGTCTTTGTACCTGATTACAATGTCAGTGTGGCAGAAGTACTGATTCCGGGAAGCGAGCTTTCGCAGCACATCAGGTTTTTCATGTTACTTCAGAATTACAGGGTTTCCTTTCTTTTCTTCCTTACAATTCAGCTGAGTAAGATGTGTTAAACATCCTTGCCACCTTCTACCACAAATCTGACAAAGAAGCATGTGAATTACTGCAAAAACTGCCAGCCAAATTACATGAAGATTGCTGATTATTGTTAGTAGTTCTGCAGGATGTTGGCTCCGTTATTAATTCAAGATTTTAGTTATTGATTCAACTGTATCTTATTATTTGATTGCTCAGCACGGCTGGAATGGAGGCCAGTGGAACTAGCAATATGAAGTTTGCAATGAATGGCTGCATTCTTATTGGCACCTTAGATGGAGCTAATGTTGAAATAAGGCAAGAGGTCGGCGAAGATAATTTTTTCCTCTTTGGTGCAGAGGCACACGAAATTGCAGGCCTAAGAAAGGAAAGGGCTGAGGGAAAAGTAGGTCTGCTGTACAAGACTACACTTTTTTTTAACTTTCCCAAACATTCTCATCTGATTTCCAGAACTTCTCCTGACATTTGACCAAAACTCCGCTACCAACTCCCTGTTTTAAAGTAAACTGAGGTCAAAAAAAGAAAGTGAGTCCATCATTATCCAAGTCACTTTATCTATCTCATCTTGTTTGCAGTTTATCCCTGATCCAAGGTTCGAAGAAGTAAAGGCGTTTGTCAGAAATGGTGTTTTTGGCCATTACAACTATGAAGAACTCATGGGATCCTTGGAAGGAAATGAAGGTTATGGCCGAGCTGATTATTTCCTTGTTGGCAAGGATTTCCCTAGCTATGTAGAGTGCCAGGAGAAGGTTGACGAGGCATATAAAGATCAGAAAGTAAGTAGCATTTGCTAGACACACGCACATATTGCAGACATAGCATACAACTTTTCTTGTCCCTTCATATGCTGCGCTGATAGATCAGTGCTCAAATAATTTTTTTGATAGTTAGTTTATAAAATAAAGGCAAAGAAATCTGAAGAGTGAAATCTATATGACTAATCATCTTTGAACTTCAATGAAACATACATGTACACTGTCCATGAATATCCTGCATGTATGTGCTCCCTTGCAAATTCAACCCCGTAAAATGTGGCTGCAGGTAATTTGTTCCACAGGTAAAATCATTTTTACATTTATGCCTAAAGTTTATAGTTATAGTCTATATTATATATAGAAGCATGCCTAGTGGATTGATTACAGTACTAGACGTGTGCTGATAAACTTAATGTTAACTGGGGCAGAGATGGACAAAAATGTCGATTTTGAATACAGCTGGCTCATACAAGTTCAGCAGTGACAGAACGATTCACGAATATGCAAGAGACATATGGAGGATCCAACCTGTTCGATTGCCTTGAATTGATTAGATCTGCAGGGCCGGGGGTGCGAACTATATTGGTGTAAATCCCAAACTTGATGTACTGTTATTACATAGGATTCATGAACATGCGAGAGACATGTATGGAGTTCGATCTTCCAGAATCTAGACAGTGAAGATTGCAATAGAAAAGATCTCTTACAAGGGTTTTACTACAAATATTATCCTTGCAATTCTGGGTATGTGGACGACTACAATTCTCTATCTTGATGTCCATCATATTAAATAAACATTTGGCTAGCGAGTCTTCTTGATCACTGCCTTTTCTGGTTGTTTATGCAAACAATATTGATACAGAGCAGAATTACCTTGAAGAAATACCACTGGATCCAAATCAGGACAGGAAACCGTAGCAGTAACCAGCGGCAGAAGCCCATGAAGTAGAGCATAATATAACAGCAAGGATGGCTTCTGTCGCATGCCTGAGGTTAAAAATAAATTTTAAAAACAAAAAAAAATTATTTTGATAAAGCACGGAAACGAATGACAATTAGCAACAACAACGGCTTCTCGTGTCTTCTCTAGCGTGCATGTTACTCTTGAAAACGAATGAACTGCTCAATAACTACAAGACGGGGTACGGTTTTGCAGGCGCTAGACAATGGTGAGGACATGGTTGGGATTGATGGAATTGTCGTAAAATTAACAAAATATCAGACAACACCCCAAACTGCACAATCAGGGATTGGGTTGGATGGTTGCCCCCCTGGGAGGACGATGGAGTTTTTGGGGTTTGGTATGCCTCCTTCATTAATTTGTTGCCTTCCTAGAAACGTAGGGAAGAAGAGATACAAATGAAGCAAGTGCTTTTAGAAAAAGAAGCAGGCAGCAATCCCAGATATGATGCTTGTTTCCAGAATTGTACTCTAGCATCTGCCACTATTGGAGACGCTAGTAACGATTGTAAGGTTGAAGGTGATGGCATTATCGTAAATACATCAAGTCATTCTTGTTAGTTTTAGGGTGACGTGTGATCTTGGAATTAAATATAATAATGATATGCCAATAGCACCCCTCTCCGACACAGGTTATTTCCGCGCCTGGCTGTGGCTTGTAACAAAATTATTTTGAAGGTGAAAAATTTTAAAAACAATTATATATATATATATATATATATATATATTACATTGTAAAACTCGATGTATAAAAATAAGGATGCTATAAAAATTTTTAAAAAATATATTAATCTAATTTATTATTTATATAAACAGTTAATTGTTTTGTTAATCACCTTGTTAAAAGGTTTAATGGTAACTTTTTTTAATTTAACCGATGTAAAGAACTTATGGTTAAATAATAGTAACTAAGACCATTACTTATTTTTCTCACCCTTAAAGCTACCTAACCAAATGATTTTTTTATGTATATTTTTGTATAAAATATTTTTTTGTTAAGAAAAATATTAAAATAATATATATTTTTATTTTTTAAAATTTATTCTTAATATTTAAAAATACTAAAAAAATGATTTTAAATAAAATAATTCAAAATTTTTAAAAATAATATTTTAGTCACAATATCAAACATATATATATCAGGGCAATAATTCAGTTAGTATAGCTAGATTTCTTTACACAAACATAAATGTAAGTGTACCAGGTTCTCCAAATAATTTTGTTTTTTCAAAAAAACAGAACCTACAATCAGTGTAGCATTTGTACGGCGAAAAAATGATGGAATCTCCTCCAAAATTCTTTCCTGAGTTCCTAACCGGGGGGAAAAAAGAGGAAAAAAAATCGTGGGGCCCTGTTTGAAGTGAATTGAAAATAGCCTAACGATATCCCAGGGACAACTAATTTAATTGCTTCAGACTAACTCACTTTCCAAAAGTTACTTTCAAGCTTTCCTTCTCATTCACAAGGCCGCCCATGGACATGAATCTGTATAACTGACCTCTCTACGGGCAAGAGTAAGCTATATCATGAGATCGAAAAGAAGTTTCGACTTTTGAACCAACACCGCTTTCTGATAGATAAAAAAGGGGATCTCTTGGTTTAATTGCTTGCTCGCTTGATGTTGGAGACCTTATCTCTCGTCAAGTTAGGCGTGTCCCCATTATTAATTGCTCTATTAATATATTCAAAGTACATTTTTGAAACGCAAAAAACAACCATAGCTGTTGCCATCAGTCCGTTTACAGTCCACCGAAGGTGAAGTCATGGTAAATTACTAAATTGAAGGGCGGCAGAACACGACAGATTTGAAGAGACTGCATGAGAATATTTATATTTAGCCTCGTAACTGCATGCTGCGTTTAAAAACTAATTCACCATCCAGGTTGTGGGCTTGTAGTAAGCTAGGTCGGTAGGTATTCTACAAACCACTTTTATGCAAACGCGATTCCTGATTAATCCCAACACAAGATACTTCCAGCTAGCCTTTTCAACTACATATATGAATGGAAGTTGGCTCGGCCGCCAAAAAAAGGCACCTCCCCTCGATACTTTTTCATGATCGAGAAGTTCGCTTTTTCACCTCTCTAGCCATTGCATTCCTATCTTGAGCAATAGAGAGATCGTAGAGTCTTAATCTCGATTTTTTGCAAATAAAATGCTCGAAACTCTTGTATAACCACGGAGTATGCAATATATGTCCCTTGCTACAGAACATTATAGAGAGTTTCCTGCTTAATTTCCAGCTCCTCGACATTAACCTAGCCTAATCATCATGCGTACACACTCAGGCAATACAAGTAAATACATCCTGATCGAAGGGATTTGACCTCACGATGACTTCATTTTTAATACATGAAGATTAATCTGAGAATACCACTTTTATCATGTGTGAAACAGGCAAAAAAGAAGATAGCTAACCTCCAATTTCTGTAGTTTCATCTTTCAAGGATGCTTTAGTCCATGATCCTTCTATCATTCACGCTAGTGCGAGTGGTTGAGATTCGGCCAAACAAAACCCTTTGTGTTGTTATAGCAAACGTCGCTTTCGTCTTGCCAGGTCTCTAGCTCTCTACATCAGAGGGCTGTCCAAGAATCATGTCCTCACACCACTAACTGTAATGATGATATTTCATGTACTAGCAAGATAAATATTTCTTGATGAGAATTTCATCAAAGATTCCACGCTTCTGCTTGTGCCATAATTTCGCAGGGCCCATATCTTCCATCTCATTTCTGTTGACTGTTTAGTCGGTGTCGGCGGGGAGTTCACGACCGTTCGATCTCAATCCTGTCCCGATTAATTACAGCTAGACATGTAATATGTTGCTGTTAAGTGATTTGAAATATGCAAATATATAGAAATAGGAACGTACAGGGAAAGCATTAATCTATTGATTGCAGGATTAAAGTTTGTCTTTCCCGTAATCAATTCAATGGAAGTGATGAACCGAACACTCAGGAAAACCAGAGGCCGCCACCATATTCGAATATGCGCTTGCCTGCGATTCGTTTCATTAATGGGCCTAATTGGCACAGGCTTAGTTGGGCCCAAAGAGAGACTTCTCGAGAACCACGACGCCTCCATTTCCATTTTCTCGTTACTTTTTTCCTTATTCTTCTTCTTTTTTTTTTCAAACGGGACAAAAGCACACTCTTGCACCTTCTCTGCTATCATTTTTTTTTTTAAGGAATTATAAAACTCACTAAAAAAATAAAGAGCAAGAATAAGCCCCTACCACAAAGTATAACGAAAGAAGATTGTTCAGGCAAAAAAAAATAAATCACAAAGGATCCATTTACAGGGAGGGCTAATTAAACAACTTAGCATATATATTAGCAGAAAGCATGTAGTTAAACAAGTACGAGTATTCAGGAACGCAGTGGCCTCAAGAAATATTTCTAGCTACGAAGAGAACATGCATCGATATGATCAAGAAATTGTCACTTTCTTTCTCTTCATTTTCGTTCATTTAGCAGTGGTGTAATGGTTTACCGTACATGCCTCTTTGTATACATATTTGTCGCTCTATGCACACTTTAGATTCGTGTCCTTGTAATTATTTAAAAAATATTAAGAGTTTGTGTTTGTCTGCATGTGATGAAAAATTAAATAGATTTTGCATAGTTACAAGAGAGGCTGAGGAAAAAGTGCTGCATGGTCGGTTTGTATTAAATAATGCATGAAAGTTGTTGTAATTATATGACGCTTTTATATATAAATCTTTATCATTATTATTATTGGTAGCAGCAACAGCAGCTATCCAATTAAAAATAACAAGAAAAAAAAATATATATAAATCTTTATCATTATTATTATTATTGGTAGCAGTAACAGCAACTGCACCTCGCTCCTTCCGTTGCCATGGGTTCGAGCCCTGGAGTTGTACGCCTATCAGCTCCGCGCTGCTTTACCTGCCTGTTGGGTTTGCAGGGTATTCAGTGGGCCGTGAAGATTAGTCGTGGTGCGTGCAAGCTGATCCGGACACCCAACGTTAAATAAAAAAAAATAATAACAAGAAAAAAAATATTGCAGCTATAAATTCATTTTCGTTATTTATTGAAATAGTATAATAATATTTTTATTCCTCTATTAAAAGACTTTAAACAGGTTTCTAAAAATATTAAGATATTTTCACATGGGTCATCTATTATTATCAAATAAAACAGAGATAAATAAATATTTTTATTTTTATTTTACAATAAAATAACTTAAATATCTTTAAAAGCAAAAAAAAGAAGATAAACCTAACATCACAGAATATTTTTGTATATTCACAATGATTTTTTAACTAATATAATTGAAGATGAGGGGAATTTTGGTATTTTTCACAAATATTATAAAAATTAACAAACTTTTAAAATGCAAATGAAACTATAAAAATATTCTTAAAATAAAAAATTAAACTATAGGCTAAGGAGCGTTTTTAGCTTTTCATATTAATTTTTTTATAATTACAAAGTTAACTCAAGAATAATTCTGTATTTGGTTATATAAAAAAAAAATTGGCAAGCATGCAAAATACCTACGGGTGCATGAGTGGTGTTTGCGATCTTTGGCTAGCAAATGCAGCATTTTTTAGTGTCTAAAAATCCTTTTCTGTCATGTCATTTGAAGCGTTGTTGTATCCTTTTCTTGTTTTCATTTTATCATTCAATTCAAAATGATGAATTTTTTTATAATTACAAAGTTAACTCAAAAAAAATATTGGCAAGCATGCACAATACCTATGGGTGCATGAGTTGTGTTTGCGATCTTTGGCTAGCAAATACAGCATTTTTTTGTGTCTAAAAATCTTTTTTTGCCATGTCATTTGAAGCGTTATTGTATCCTTTTCTTGTTTTTTCTTTTTTTTTTCTCTCCTCTAAAAAAACTACACCTTAACTCTTTTAGTTGTTAGCATTTCAACTTCAGTTCCTGTTCTTTTAATTTTTTATTTATAGTCTTGGTCCTTTTATATAAGTTTTATTCGTCCATTAAAGTTCTCATTCTTTAGATTTTCAATTCTTATCCTTAACCCTTTTGTAAAAAATTTAATTAGTTGTTGTATCCTTTT